AGAGAAATCTAAAAATTAAGTAAATAATAAACATAAAAAGGAAAGAAAATAAATATAGAATATTAAGTTACGTTACTTTTTTTTTACCTTTTTAAATTTTATTTAAAGTAACTTAAATATAGAACTTTAAAAGTTTATTTTGTTAATTACCTTATAAAAATGTATTTAGACGGTTAGATTTATTACTATTTAAGTAAGATAAGTATTGTATTTGTAATGTAATAAGCCATTACGTTACTAATTATTATAAGCATATAAAAATAGTATTTTTCTGTTCACTTTTATTAATTTATATTATTAAAAAAATTATTTAATATATTATGATAGAGATGTTAGTGATTAGGGAAAGATAGATGGGCCGGATAATAAAATCTACTTAAAAGTACAAACATTTTTTAGGTAGGAATTCGAGTCCTATTAGGTTAACTTCTCAAACTGTTGAATGTGGTATATTTATGAGCTGATAAAGCAAACTCTTAATTTGATCTACTATTTTTATGCTAATATGCATGTTAGCTCTGTATCTTATGTATTTACATTAGAAAATAACATAATTTTAGTAGAAGCAAATCTTTGTTTTATTTATCTATTATAAAGCGTATATATTCCTTCCTTTTTTTCTTCGGTTAAATCTATTATTTTTTATTATTATTACCATATAATAACTCTATCGAAGAATGCATTTAAATGGATACTAAATTCATAAATATTCAATTATTACAACTCTAACATAAAAAAATAAGTGTTAGATGGTGCTAATTTAATGATTATTTTTCTTCTTTTTTTTCCGATAAAATTAATATCCCATGAATCTAAGTCAAAATTACAAATCTAAGTACTAAAATTTGTAATATAATTTATTTGAATTTGAAGTTCAAAAACGATCATTGAAAATATTATTAATATTTTAATTTTTTTTAAAACAAAGAATATTTCATAAATTTAATATATTTTCACACCGCGCATAGCGCGGCTAAGTTCACTAGTTTATTTATAAAAGCAAAAACGCTCAAGACGAGAGCATTTATTTTATTGCTTACATGTATATCAGTGTTATGATAATTTTTTTGTAGGAGCAGAAATGTCACTATCTCTTCTTATTAGGCTAAAACAGTGAAATTTGAAACTTGATGCACAATAAATTCAATGATCTAAAGTTTATTAATGTCCGTTATTTTAGCTATTTTTCACTTTGAATGAATTTTTATCTTTTCTCTCTCTTTTGTGTTAATTATTTCTTTTATTTTTGTGTATTAATAACCGCATCAATAAATGTATACTATCATAATTGATTTGATTTAGTTTTAATAGTTAAAAATTGATTTTGATTTTAACCAATAACCAACTTGTGTACGCCCCCTAGTCAAATCTATCAATATTTTCTTGAATTTATTGTCTAGTGTGAAATAATAAAATAAAATAAAATTGCTAAAAAAGAAAAGCAAAAGGAAGACAAACTAGAAGGAAAAAATAGAACAAACTATATATCAAAGGGAAAGAGTAATTAAGGAGTGTCAAGATTAAGAACAAATCAAAAGAAAAATATTTAGAAAGTGGAAAGAGAGCAGAGAGCCCCCTTCCTCTCCCCTCCCCCAGGCCCCCAGCAACGCCGGCGCCGCCGGAGCAGTGTTAGAGAGAGGTAACAGTAGTATGAGTAACATTCTGGTCTAATGAAGAATCATGGAAGCTTTTGCTACATACTGTTTTTTCGAACTCAGAACTGAATTTCAGGTTTATATTCTTCCTAATTTGCATTCACTTTCTAAATTTTTACCCTAATTACATAGTTTGTATCTACTCTCAACCCAATTTGCTAACAATTTTTGTTCTTGAGCAACGGAACTCGGATATCTCAGTGCTTGTGCTGACCTCGGGAAGAAATCACTAGTATTTTTTCTGTTTGTGGGATTTGAACCTGAGATTCATGATTCTCATCATGTTTTATTTTTCTGAATGTTTCTGTTGAAACTTGAAGACATTGCTATGTTCAAAACTGTATGGTTTGGGCTCTAATTTTTAGGTTACTTCTGGACATTTACTCTTTGATTCTTCTTCTCCTTGAAAGTACATAACAAACTGTACACTGTTATGGAGCAATTCTCTTTAACAATGAGCCACCTCCCACCAGCAACATGTAACTCTGTCAACCAAGGTTACGACGGATGGGAAGAAATCACCTAGTAAATTTTGGTCTGCTCGGTCAAGTTAAGCACTAGGTGGTGGTCATGGCTTGATAAAAAATTGGGCCGCGACAATTTGAGTAATTCCTCTGACTTTCAAACAAAACATTCACAAACTTTCTTCCTACATTTTTCATAATATTAAAAGAATATGGGTACCGAATCTCTCTTGTGAATACTAGATTTCCAATCACTATTCTAGAGAACATTTATGCCAGGTGAAGGATGTCACTTTGTGTGGCACTTTGATTCTCTAGATTTGCTTCCAAGGCCATTTGAAGTCTTGATTATCACTAACACTTGTCTGCTTATATCCTTCCTTCACCCTATTCTAGAAAATACTTATGCTCTTCTTTTTCTTCATGGAATTAGAGTTTGGGTATTGACTCCTTCCTCTGAGCATTGAATTCCCTTATCCCAAATATGTTTTATTTTCCTCTTTTTCTTAATTATCAGAGTTCGATACTATATCCCTCCTTAAAATATTGAACTTTGTTTATACTATTCTGGGGAGTCTTCTTCTCTCTGTGGTATTAGAATTTATGTACGAAGTCCCTCCTCCGAAGCCCAAATGCTTGAGTTTTGATTATTCTGGTAACCTTTTCAGCTGCTTTTCACCTGCCAATGAAGGCAACATGCTGGGAGATTTGTATCACCTTTCTGCTTTCTGGTGACTGGGAATATATAATGTTTTAAACAATATTATTTTTTCTTGTATTTATCCTAAACATCATTTGATATGCATTTCCATTTAAAAATTTGAGTAAGGAGTATGGCCAATTGGCCGTGTGTGTAAAACTGGAGTGTTGTCTTATTCTTTATATTTATTATTATAAAATATTGAGTCACTGGTTACCTTGTTCCAGTTCATATGATTTTAAGGCCTCCTATTGTTTGTTTCTTTTCATAAGAGATGGCAAGATGACGTTTTGACCAAGAAGAAAAAGATTGATTTGTCAATGTCAGTTCCCCAGCAAGATGAATATCGAAGTAATTGACATAGAAGGGCAGAAGAGGAAAAAAAGTGGGGAAAGAGCTGTTGAACCAAATCGGAATCCCAAACAGGGTTTGCCGGACAATTTTACTGAAAAAGACACTATCATTGAGGTTGATGATGGGGAAGAGAAGCCTTATGTGGGGATGGAGTTTCAAACAGAAGAAGCAGCAAAGAATTTTTTTGACGCATATGCTAGGCGTGTGGGCTTTAGCATACATGTTGGTCAGTACAGCCGCACTAAGCCTGATGGACCTATCATTAGTTGGGACTTCTCTTGTTCTAAAGAAGTTTTCAGAAGGAAGAATACAGAGAGTTGCAATGCTATGCTTCGCGTAGAGAGGAAGAGTTCAGATGGTTGGATTGTGACTAAATTCGTTGAGGATCACAATCATTCAATAGTGAATCCCAGCAAGGTGCATTACCTCCGACCTCGTAAACACTTTGCTGGTGCTTCCAAGACTGTTGGAGAGATACCGGGAGCTCAAACTGATATTATGGTTCCACCGGTTGTGGTTCCGGTGGACGGGAATCATGTATTTGTCAGTTCTAATGAAGGTGTTAAGGATGCTTCTCCTGTGGAGTCAAATCGTGTGACCAAAAACTTTAGCCCTGTCATACCAATAATGTTTATTCAGCCTTGCAGCCGAAAGAGAACTCTTGGAAGAGATGCCC